GGGGTGGGGGTGGATTCTATTCCTGGTTTTAACTAGAAGCTCAACTTGTCAGCCTGAGTTTCCACACATGTAAAATAAAAGACTATTTGACCAGATGACTCACAAAGTCCAACTTCAACAAGGTGAAAAGCCTTGACTAAATGCCTTCAGGTTTAAAATATATTGAATATCTCCTTAATGTCACAAGTATAACCAAGTAATTACTCCTTGCATAATAATACAGGTTTCATTTTTATAGAGAAATTACTCAGCTCTAGAGGGAAGGTCCTTTCCCAATTGAGTACCGTAGAGTTCTATCACATTTATCATTCAGAGAATACGCTCAGCTTTCAAAAGCCATTCCTCAGCCCTGCTATGTGAGAATGTCCTATTCCCTATAAATGGCAGTTATATGTCACTCAGAAGAAAGAACATTTTTTTTTCTGATAGAGTAGGTGTAATTTTATAAAATGGCACATTTATTTGAAGCAGTAACTTTTTTGAGATATGGCCTTTTTGCAAGGCCCTGAGTTTTTCAGAATGCTGTGATTTAGCACAGTATGAAATTCTACCTGCGTGTATTCTACCTGCATGGCAAACACTGCCAACCCAGAAAAATGGATGAGGCACTCCCTATTTATCAGGCTTCAAGGTGGTGAAGTAAATGGTACATGTGTATAGAGAAATTGGGTCATAGCACTTTCTCCATTTGGCAACATTTATGATTCTGCTGAAGTTCATACAGCAACTTCGAGCTTAGAAACCATTTTGTACAAGGCCTGACCACTAATTTGAAAATGATTTCCAGACTTCTGCTAACTGTTGTTTTATAACTAAAATTTTATATGCCTGTTAATAAACAAAAAACCCTGAGCCTTATGCTGTGTTGTAAACAATTTTGAGAAAATAGGTTCATTTGTCATAGAATTTTAAATTTGAAGAAACCCTGAGCTGTCACTCTGCATTACCTTGTCTCCTAAGGGCTGCCTCTAAATCACCCCATCATTATTAAATCAAACAATTTAATAATTGTTTAATAATTGCATTGGGCAAATCTGCTGCAAAAGACCTCTTTAAAGTGTTCAAAAGCAAAGATGTCACTTAAGAACTAAGGTGCATCTGACCTAAGCCATGATATTTTCAGTCGCCGCATATGCATATGAAAGCTGGACAGTGAATAAGGAAGACTGAATAAAAATTGATGCCTTTGAATTATGGTGTTGGTGAATAATAATGAATATGCCATGAACTATCAGAAGAATGAACAAGTATGTCTTGGAAGAAGTATAGCCAGAATGCTCCTTAGAAGCAAGGATGGTGAGACTTCATTTTGCATACTTTGGACATGTTATCAGGAGGGGCCAGTCCCTGGAGAAGGACATCATGCTTGGTAAAGTAGAAGGTCAGTGAAAAAGATGAAGACCCTTGACGAGATAGATTGACACAGTGGCTGCAACAATGGGCTCAAACACAGCAACGATTGTGAGGATGGCACAAGACTGGGCAGCATTTTGTTCTGTTGTACAAAGGGTAGCTATGAGTCAGAACCGACTCAATGGCACCTAACAACAAGAAGTAGCCAATTCTTCAGTCATCCTCAGAAACACATTCCAGTGTTTCAGGATACTCACCATCCAATTCTCTTTTTAATTCATTTGGACTTTATCAGCTGCTAATTAAAAATCATTTCTTTTTAAAATATTAAGCAGGTTGATAAGTTGCTGACAACAACATAATAGCCATTCAAAGCTTGAAGACTTACTAGGGCACCTTGCAGTTTCCCGTGGGCTGGGCTCCCCCAAAGAGGTCATTGGTTAGGTGTCTGCATCTACATCTCGCCATAATTCCTACTGTAAGAATCTAGATAGAAGAGGCAATGGTAAAGGAAGTTTTCTGAGTGACTTCTTTTCTGAAGTTACAGGTAGGCTGGATAATAATAGAAACAAGGTTTACAAAGACAAGGCCTCTGAAGTTGCTTGTTTTTATAAATCCAAAGAATGATCATTAGTTAACTATCAAGACTTCCTAAGCAATTCATATGCTATGTTAAACCTGCTTAAGATAATCTGAATGACTTTTAGGTCATTTCCAAAATGATTTGAATTAACACTTGTTCTCTGGTTGAGAAGAAATCAGTCATGGAAAGAATAAAGTTAAGTAAATAATTAAAGGATAATCAGTGCTTAAAACCATGCATGATAAGAAAACATACTTGGCCTATATACAAAAACAATCTTTTCTTCCAAAATCATTAAGGAAAAAGAGAACAAAGAATGCTTGCACTGTTTGAAGATTATCTTTCAGAAATATAATACTGCAAAAAGAATGCAATATTCTGCTAAAAGAAGTATTTGCACTCCAATTAACAGGGCAGGACACTGACATCATAATTTAAATTTATATCCACAATGTTCTAGAAGAATCTACTCAGCCATGCGTGGAAAGGTCTTACTGTACCGTACTTCGCCTATTTCTGGGAAGTTATTTTGATAGAAGCATGTTTCTTTAAAATGTAGATTATATGATCAGTCCTAATGTCAGGATGAAGTAGAGCTCACTTTTCATCTTAAAAGAAAGGAAATGTGTACAAACGATGTTTTGAAAAGTTAGGGACTATATTCTGAATAAAAAGAAGGCTAAGAGACAACTTAACATAACTATATAGCACACCTCCCAGAGGGTTATTACTAGACCACAGACTAGATAGTCTTCTCTTTTGACTCAGCACTACATATTAAAGAAAAAAATTACATCAAGAACAGAGTTAGGGGCTCCAAACAGGTCTTCAGTGGTGATGGTGCCAGTATTGTGGAGAAAGTGAACAGGAGGACGCCCATGAATGGTTAGCACTAATTATACATTTTTCATCTATATTTGCTGTTTCTATAGGGTGTGGGAACAGTTTTGAACCCAAGTTAAAACAGCTAAAGCAATTTTGTACAGACTTTGGTAAACTTTCTTGACCTGTTTCTGGACAGATCAGTGCCTCTCCTCTGGGCTCCTATCCACTCTGCATATTCACCTCCTTGGCCCTCACACATTGCATTGTAGCAGTTGGATTATCTGTCTACATCCTCCCTGAGACTGGGGCTGCTAGGGGACAGAAACAGTCTAGTTTATCACTTTATTCCTCTCACCTAGCACAGGGCCTGGCACAGAGAGGCTATTCTATAAATCTCTGTTGAGAACATGAAATCCTACCAAGACATTGTGAATAACACTGATTTTTACTTTTAGAAGATGCTGATCAGTATGGACATAGTAGGTAATGTGTATGAATTTCCCTTGCACTGTGTTAGTTAACAGGTCAAAGTGTCCTGGCAAAGTGCAGATTTCAACTACCTGCCATCTGGGGATAAACCTGAGATTGCTTTGTACTGTACAGCACATATGAAGTATATAGTTGAAATAATTATAACTATAAAAAAGTAGAAACTGCAGGAATCTTGGTGTTTCTTCTCATTAACCTCCATTTTATTAACCCTATAATATTGCTATACTGGGAAATTTTAACAATAATTTTATAACTATAGCACTTTGGATTTTATTTTAAAGAGTAATTCATTTTTGTAATTAAGGCATTTGACTGAGATTATGAAGATTAGAATACTGAAGTTTGAAACCTTTAATTAGTTTAAGTAAAACCTTTTAGTCCCTTCTTTAAAATGTTCTGAAAACATGGCATATGATATAAAGCCTATTAAACAGTTCAAAAGACCTAAATTATATCAAATCATATACAAAAACATTATCATTTTTCTAGTTATTTCTTTTCCAGTATCCATGTACTAAAATGATTTATTCAGTTCAATTGTGCTGACTTAGGTGGTACTGGGAAACGGGAGGAGGATGAGGAAAAAGCAACTAACAGGGTAATTGGTAAAGGGCTCATTGCAGTTAACAATCAAAGTGCACCATTTGCCTCTGGTTTTCCCTGATTGAGATCCTAAACAGTGTTAACCCTAATTTTGAGGCATGTCTGAAAGACTGGAAGATATGTGTTTGGGGACAGTGGTTTGCGAAGGGGTCCCTGTATCCATCTCCCTAAGGGAACCAAGAGTCTAGAGGTATCAAGTTTACAGCCAAAATTGTAGGCCTTATAGGGTTGCTATGAGTTGGAATCAACTTGATGGCAACAGGGTTTGGCTTTTGGTTAGTAGGAGGAGGGAGAACCACATGGCATCTGTTTTTATCAATAACCTAGGAGCCTCTGAGAAAGGAGGTCCCTGAGGAAAGAGATTTTAGGCTCAGGGTGCAGAGTCGGGATTGGGAAGGCGGTACCAGCCTGTCAGCCCAAT